TACAGAGAGGGAAGACAGGTACTGAATTTTACACTTTTTCTTAGGCTACAGCAAGACTACTGATAGTAGTAGAAGCAGATATATCACAGTTTCCATAGTTAGACCCCTAGTTATAGAGAAGATAGCTACTTACTTTAGGTGCTCCATCCTTTTGAATGCCTACATCATTAGTTGCTATCCCTTTCACGCTACCATCTTCATGAAAAAGAACCTTTGGAAATATTTAAACAAACAACCATTTCAATGATCTGTCATTTTAATCCATTCATAAAAAGTTCTAATGCAGAACTTCTATGCACTATGTCTCTACAATCAAAGATTATGTAATTACTATGCATTTATTACATACTGTATGATCCACTTGCACTTTGCTGGATCTGGGCCAGGGAATTTAGACACTGAAACCCAGTTTTCACAATACACCTCTGTTAAAAGGAATGTCGTGAATGTAGAAATAATTGAGAGTGAAGGGCTTTCCAAAAATGCTTTTCATATACACGCTGATGTCATTATTACCTCAGCTGCTGCATAGCCTGGATACAACTCAACACCCAAAGCTTCTGCTTGTTCACCTAGCCAACTCACAAAGTGGCCCAGACGTACTATGTAATTTCCATGATTAACCATTGGAAGTCCTAGGGAAAAAAGAACACACATGCATAAAACATAGAACACTACACAAAATAACAGATGTTGTATACATCAGATGTATCTTCTTCTACAACCACTATCTTCACAGTAACATCGTAAGTTACCATAGCCATCATCTACACAGACCTTATCACTGTAAACTATTATGTTCTACATACACTTGCTGTACTACACTGAATCATAATTGTTTGATTAATGGAAAAGTTGAAAAAGACATAGAGCAAACTGACTCTCTACCACTCGCTAAATTTTACCTGGAAGAATTGGCACTGGAATTCTAGATTTCTTTGTTAAAATTCCAAACTTGTCTTCAGTTACAGGAGTATTAAGTGGAGCCTATAAAAAAAAAAAAAAAAAAAAAAAAAAAGAAACAGTACTGAGAGTTATGGTTTTCTAGCCGATCCAACAAAACCAACTAAAATAAAATAAAACAATCAAACTGGCAGTTAAGTAAAGGTTTAATAAAGCTCTTCTGTAGGAAGGTATCACAAGAGATAAGATAGAAGTATGAGACAGTTATCAGGCAAGAATCAACACTACTGAGGTAAAAAAAAAAAAAAAAAAAAGGAACAGGGCCTTGCAAATCACTTCTATAATCTGTATATCATCAATATTCTAGATGCTTCTAAAGGTGACAGATCAACTTGCATGTTTACCCCAGTAAGACAAAACAACTAATCAATGGCTCACTTCTTGCAGCTCCCAGGTGATAGCAGGCAGCTGGCTGATCATTTCTTTCAATCCTCCCACCTAAAAGCATCTTAGACCTCCGTTATACCACTATGTCTGCACAAAAAATCAGGGTACTATGTGCCATTTCCTGAGACTGTGAAGAACTACTGTAGAGAAACAGCAAGTCTGACATTGCTAATAACTGACCAACTTACTGCTTGTGCACAGGAACTGGATTCTGCACAAATGCAGGAAGTGTAGTGCATTCCAGGATGCACCAGACATACCGTGTATATGCAGTAAGACTATTATATAAAAGAGCCAAGGCCACAGCACATCTGTGTAGGTACAACACTTTAGCATTTTTGAACTAGAGGAAACAGACTAAAAAGAAGGTAGAAGGTTTTTTGTTTTGTTAGATCAACATATTTTAAAATGGTACTAAGTACCAGTGTTATCAAGGTGCTAAGCCATATCAGAATGAGTCAGATATGGAGTTCATTAAAAGTTAGTAATTAATTTCAGTGTTAATATGCTCATACGTACCCCTCGCTCCTTCCAGTCTGGAAAAAGTTCTTGTAAGGACCTTGGCTCAAGACAAGCACCAGACAGTGTATGCGCACCAATCTGTGAAGCCTTTTCCACTAGACAAACCCGTAGTTCTTTGCTGTGCTCAGCAGCTAACTGTTTGAGCCGAATAGCTGCAGAAAGACCTGCAGGGCCTGCTCCAACAATGATAACATCTGCTTCCTCTGCGAATCTTTCCATGTTTACCCCTTTAATAGAAAAAAGATAGTAAGATAAATCAATCTTCAATTTCCCCCAGCCTCTCTCTCACTAAAGCTTGCTCTGTGATACTGGCTACTGGGTACTGCAGTAGTACTACCTTGTGTAAAAGAAGGCCAAATATTTAACAGAATCCCCACTTCAGTACTTGGTATAATGCAAAAGGATATTAGCATCCCAAAGTAAAATTAGCTCTTTTTAAGCTGTAAGAAGATATACCATAAAACATATGGTATATATCATCTTAGAATGTTAAACTTAAGTTGGCTAGGTGTATCAAAGACATTCAGTGAAAGTAGTTAAGGGAGAAATAAAAGAAAAGAGACCTTTAGTCAGAACACGTGACTTTATTTTACATTAATTAATCAGTATCTTTTATGGAACTGAAGCCACTGAAATTATTGAATGTAGAGGCTGGAGTGCCCAGAGATATATGTCAATCTTATTTTCTCATAAACACTCATGGTAAGAACAACTGAAAAAAATCCAATAGATACATACCTGACAGAATTAAATCTTGTTCTGATAGTCACAAAAGTAAAAGCTGCTTAAGTATTTTCTTTAAATAACTAGGATCGAGTTTAATCTGATCCCATTTTATAGCACTAAAGACACTCATTGTGAGATAGCAACCACAAAATTTCATTTGGAGTATTAGTACTGTATTTAAGAGTACTTTAGAGTTAGTGCTTAGGTACTTAGTGTTAGTACTTTAAAGTTAGTACTTTAAGAATTTCTTCAAAAAGAAAAGAACAGCAACACATTTCAGTGTCTTTAAAACTGAGCAATAATAAAGAAGTTTTTAAAGAATGCATTTTTGATCTTACCTTCCCATCGTTTGTCTTTTTCGCGAGGATGAATTGTATAATGTGTAGTTATGCGAGGCACAGAGGCAGTAGATGCACATCTTGCAATATGAAGCGATGGAAGGCAGTCTCTCTTTATCAACTTTAGAGCATGAAAGCACCAACGTGCTGCAAAACCAAGAAACAAATCTGTCAAATCAGTAATTTCCCAAATTTTTTGACTATCCAGAGACACAAGTGGCACAACAAATATGACAGCTCCCCCTCCCAGAGGCTACCAGGTGATGTGAAAATGCGGAACCATAAACACAGATTTTAAAATTTTCAAGTTAGGAATGCACTGTATAATTTTATCTCGTGGGGAAAAAAAAAAAAAAAAAAAAAAAAAAAAAAAAAAAAAAAAAAAAAAAAAGAGGAAGGAGCTTTCCTTTTAAGCATCCTTCACATAATACCACTCAATACGCTGACCAGCCATTTCTGACAGCTGACATAGGATAACATGAGCGTACACAGGTGAAACACATTTTAAGTTCCTATTTCATTTTGAACTTCAAAATATTTATTTCAGACTTCATTAAAAGTGACCAAACAACTGTAGAGACAGAACATGCAAGTTCATCTCTTCTGACATCTCAACACATGTTGAGACACACAGTTTGGGCTACTGATACTAGACAGTTCATCTAAAGAAAACATCATGGTCTACAATAAAAGCTCAGACTTAAACCCAAGTCAAAACTAGATACAGTAGATACATTTAATCTTTACCTTTGCTGCAGTACATTAATAGTTTCAAAAACAAATTAGAATTTTTTTTAAGTGGACAAATGGACAAAATTAAAGTTTAAAATGATCAAAACAGGACTCTGTTCAGAAGGGCTATTACATGTTGCATTCTTTCCCTAATTTTTTTCTTTCACAAAAAAAAATCATGAAGATGTGCATGATCTGTACTCTGAAAACTAGTATAGTTAACATCAAAACTAGTTACAGTTAAAAGGTCTGTGAATTAATGCACCTTGACAGGTAATTTTCCTTCCCTTTCTCTAATTTCAGAGGTGAAGGAGAATATTGTATTTAAAGTAGAGTATTTCGTCAAAACTATGTAAGTAAAAATCACCATTATCCTACGATTGAAATGTTTTGCTGAGAATAGCGATTGGCAAGGCCAGCACAAACATCCTCCATTATACCTCTGAACAGTGACAGTCAGGATAGTGGTCTCTATATGCAAGGTAGTATTACCTATATCGGTTTCTTAATAGCAATTTTGAACTTAACCAATATAACATAAAAGCTATTATCGTACCCTCTCATGACTCTTAATTATCCTTTACCTGCAACCGGGCAGGATCTGAGAACAAGCAATAAGCATGATAACAACTATGCCTATACATGTATATTAAAACATGACACCTTAATTTTTCAGATCTTTTTACTTGAGCAGAACTGATGGTACTATGAATTGCATAGAATAATTTTAAAATGTCAGCTACCTCACACACACATGCAAAAGAAGTGAAACTCAGCTCAGAATACGTCTGTTAACTACAAAGGTAGGTCCAAACCCTGATCGGGCTGATTATTCCTTCCGTGAGCGGGCTGAGCCTGTGCTACCACGCTGCTGAGAGTTTACAGACTTGGTAAGGCGGTGTGAAACGGTCACACGAAGCAAGCAACCTCCAAGAAGAAACTTTACTTTTCTGCAGCTCTTTAACAGTAACTGCTGGAAGGATGTTGTCTCAACAAATATTTCGTCAGTAAGGGCATGCATTCAATTGCTTTATTTTATCCTTTAAAACAGGTAACACCTAGTATCGTTCCAAAAGACATTACACTTTTGATGCCCCACGTCACAGACAACTAAAACCGCAGACTAACAAGACGCGGCTCGCTGTCGGCCAGCGCTCCCGCGCAGCTCTGTACGCCCAGACAGAAGCGCCTTCAGGCGGACAGAGGCCGCCGGGGCGGGGGGGAGCCACGGCCGCGCCACCGCTGACACCAACTGCCGCCCGACGCCCCCCGCCCGCAGG